TTGTTAATTTTGAATTAGGTAATATATAGATAATTTTAATGCTCTCTCTATTATCCCCACATCCAGTCTGTATTGTTTTGCTTTCTCTATTTTTTTCTGCACATATGTAAATCTGAAGTCTTATTAAAAGCTTATGATAAATTACCAAAACATCTTTCCATGTTACTGATGAAAACAGTCAATCATTCTGAGGACAATATTCCACTTAAATTTAAAGTAAAAAAAAATGCTATAAGTAAGATGAAAGCTCATTTGTATTCTTTATCAGGTCACTGAGTCACTATAAATAAATGGGTAAGGTTCTTCTTTAAATCCTGTAATGGAATAATAGCTATTTGTTGCCACAATTAATTATATTTTATAAACACAGTATCATTTGATTAAAGATTAAATTAAAGATATACAGTAAACACGGAACAAAGAGGAAATTATCTAGTGCAAGTTTTCTGGGCACATAGGTTGTAACTAACCAGTTAATAATTGCTTTGTTGGTTATTATAAATCTGAAAGGAAGCAGAGACAAGGATAAAACTAATAACCAAATGAGAAAGTGTAGTCATTACTTGTTAGTGTGATTATTGCTACTGTAAACCAAGTTCCAAACCTTCTGACAAATCTGTTTTTTATATCTCCTCCAATACAGCTTCTAGTAGTGCTCAGAAATGCATCACATTTTTTATAATAAATAAGTGCAGCACACAATGTTAAGCTGTGCAGAATCTGAATATTTAAGACCGAGTTTCACCAAAGTTTTATGTTATCCTCACCACACTACTCTACCACCCTCTTTGTTCTCCTAGGACAGGGATAATTTGCATGGAGATAGAACATAGGATGGGTGATTGAAATAGAGGTGTGTAAATCATCACTATAATTTAAGATTAAGATGGTAGTTACTTTTGAAAGTGGTGTATACAAGAAAAATAAGCAAGCTAAATAAGGCTCATTGCAGTAGATTCTCTGCTGCTTATTTGTATTGTCTCAGTAAGAGCACTCACAGAATATGATACTACTCACCATTCACTGGGGCTGCAGAATCTGGCCCACAGTTAAGGAAGTATTAGTATTTCCCTTCTGCACAGTAAATTTCTCTTTCTCTGCCCCCACCCCACATAACCTCATTATGTTAAACAAACATTAAGGTTGCAAAGTCAAGCACTGAAATTGGAAATGCCAGAATTCCTGTTGCTTGCGCATTATGATACTGTTTCTAATTACAAGATCACATACTAGTTTTTCCACAGTACACCTGCCTCATCGGCTAGGTCTATACTATGAGCTAGTGGTGTGATTCCCAGCTCAGGCACATATTCCTGTGCTAGCTTCATGACAGCATGAGTTTGTATAATTGTGTGGCCACAGTAGCATGGGCAGCAGCAGGAGCACCACAATTTAGCCATGCCGAATACATACTCAGGGGGTTCAGGCAGGTTTGTACTCAGCACAGCTAAGCTGTGTGGCCACTGACTGTGCTAATTGCAACTATGCTACTATTTATAGTCTCACTAGCTGTAATGGAGCTAGCATAAATCCATGTACGTGAGCTGGAAATCACACCCCTTGCTCATCGTGTAGGTCTAGCCATTCAGTGCACAGAATAGACATGATTGAGGGATGAATCAGGATTGTGTGGTAGAGGAGGCTATTGTCTATAGGACCCCTGCCTAACTGGTTGCAGAACTTGGAAGGTGTGTAATGAATGAGGCAAGAGATTGTAGAATGAGAAAGGACGGTCTCATGGATAAAGGCATTTCAATGATGCCCTGGAGCCTTGTTCTCAGAAATGGCTGGCCTGTTTTGGTTAAAATTACAAACAAACATACAAAATCGGCCTGAGACAGACACCCAGCATGGAAAAATTCAGTCCAAATGGTTTTAGTTTCGCAAAATTATAAGCAACTGAAAATAAAGTCTTGCAATAGGAAGTTACAAGAAACCTTAATAGTAGGCAGTGTTATCAGCCCCACCTGATTACAAATTACAAACTCTTCCTAACCAGGGATTATTTTAACTATAAAAATTCACTCTCTGAAGTTTGGCACATCTACATAATTTAGCTGCAGCTAAATTGTCGTTCCAAGGTACGTTGTCAATTTTTTGTTGCTGCATTGATTTGCCCTGCAAAATTTTATCATGACCCAATTGCCAACAGGCAAATTGGTTGAAACTATAGTAAAGACCAGAATCAGACACAGATGAACATGATATCTTGGGGAAGAGTCAACATGGTTTTTGCAAAAGGAAATCAAGCCTCACCAATCTATTAAAATTATTTGAGAGTGTCAACAAGTGTGTGGACAAGGGTGATGCAGTAGATATAGCACTCAGACAGACTGACAAGGTCCTGCACCAAAAGCCCTTAAGCAAAAGTAAGCAGTTATGGGTATGAGGGAACGTCTTCTCATGGATTTGTGTCCTATCTTTTAACTAGTTACTAAGTGTAGGAATAAATGTTCAGTTTTCAGAATGGAGAGGTAAATAGCAAGGTTCCCCCATCAATCTGTACTGTACTGTACCGCTGTTCAACATCTTCATAAAATTATCTGGAAACAGGGGTAAACAGTGAGCTAGCAAAATGTGCAGATTATACAAAGTTACTCAAGATAGTTAAGACCAAAGCTGACTGAAGAGTTACACAGTGATCTCACTAAACTGGGTGACCGGGCAATAAAATGGCAGACAAAATTCAACATTGATAACTGCAAAGTAATGCACATTGGAGAACACAATCCCAGCTATACATACAAAATGATGGGGTCTAAATTAGCTGTTACCACTCAAGAAAGATATTGAAGTCACTGTGCACAGTTCTCTGAACACATGCGCTCAATGAGCAGAGGAAGTCAAAAAAGCGAACAGAATGTTAGGAACCATTAGAAAAGGGATAAGTAATAAGACAAAAAATATAATGGTACTATGTAAATCCACGGTACACTCATACCTTGAATATTGCATGCAGTTCTGGTCATCCCTTCTCAAAAAAAGATGCATTCGATTCGGAAAAGACACAGAGAAGGGTAACAAAAGTGATTAAGGGTATGGAACAGCTTCCATATGAGACGAGATTAAAAAAGACAGGAACTGTTCAGTTTAGAAAAGAGATGACTAGGGGCAGATATGATAGAGGTCTATAAAACCTTGAGTGGTGTCAAGAAAGTGTTATTTACCCCTTCACATAAACACAAGAACCAAGGGTCAACCCAATGAAGTTGATAGGCAACAGGTTTAAAATTAACACTTCTTCACACAACATACAGTCAACCTGTGGAACTCATTGCCAGGGGATGTTGTAAAGGCCAAAAGTACAACTGTGTTAAAAAATTAGATAAGTTTATGGAGGACAGGTCCATTAATGGCTATTAGCCAAGATGGTCAGGGACACAACCCCCTGCTTTGAGTCTCCCTTAATTGATGACTACCAGAAGATGGGACTGGACAACAGGGGATGGATCAAACAATGATTGCTCTGTTCTGTTCATTCCATCTGAAGCAACTAGAGCTAGCCACTGTCAGAAGACAGGATACTGGGCTAGATGGACCATTGGTCTGACCCAGTATGGCCATACTTATATTCTTATTCTGCCCCCTTTATTGCATGATCAATCTGGAAACAAAATTTATGTTAGTAAACTGTTTTCAATTCTCATTAATTTCTTCCAGTGTAAGAGCATTTAAAAGATCATTTGATTTCATCATTTATATTCCAAACTGGAAATATAGTAGTGGGATGAAAAGTGACAACTTAATGGCCTGTTTCAAACATGGTATATTTTGTTGTCACACTTAGCGTGAATTTTGATTATTTAAAGCAAAATATCTCACAGTTTGCATGTAGCCATTTTCAAGTTACTCATTTAAAAAAACCCACCATGTTCAGTGGTTGTAAAATATAAGGTTTTAAATACTGTATCCAAAAAAGAACAATTTAAAACAAAACAAAAAGGAATCAAAAAAAGAAAGCCTCTAAATGATTAGCCTATGCTATAATCAATTTGAGTATTTGAATGTTTTTTTTTACTTTGATGTGTATTATATGGGTACAAAGTATAGTAAATGCATTGTTGCGTTCTTGTTGGAAGACAGACCTTTGAATTAGTATACATTTTTTATTGCTTTTTTTGTTTATTGAAAAATTTGAATCAACTCTTATTCTGTATTCATTGCATTCAACAGTATCTATGTCCTCAGATCAGACTAGACAAAACCACAGCTTTTTTTGGTATGTAGCTCATGCCACAACACTGTTGCAAAGTCATCATTAATGCAGATTATATATAAAGTAAAACCTTGAATATCAAAATGTCATGGGGTACAGTGAATAAATTTGGACAACTGAAATTTTAAATAGTTGAAGGAATTTGCAAAGAAATTAATAGGCAAAATGGAACATAATCCTGGTTCAGATTACAAGGAGTTTGGGTTAGCTGAAGTAGTTCTATATAATACAAATATAAATGAAAGGGAGTTTCCTCCATCTCTTATTTCTCCCACTACCTAGTATTCCTGAGTTTCAGGCCCCCATTTCAGAAAGCACTTAAACACATACTGAAGTGCTTTCCTGAATAGCGATGTTTTTTGAAATTCAAGCCTGAGTCAGGATTAGTCTTCTGAATTGCAGTAATATTGGAACTGATCGTAATTATTAGTGTAAACTCTGCCGAATAAGATGTTATTATTGTATTTTTAGTTTTGCATGTAAATTCAGAATATTTTATAGAAAGATATTTATATAAAATGTAGCACATGCGAACAGTGCCAGTACAAATATACAGTACTCAAGGATCTTAGAAGCATACTTCTACACTGATGTCCATGACCTATGATCATAAAAAAATCCCACACAGAAGATACTTAAGGAACAATTAATGTATTGTTGGGCATAAGATGAATCTTCTGCAGATCAAATTGTTTCCTGAACCAGGTAGGATTTTAAAGAATGAGTGAGTTCAATGTAGCAGAACTAGAGACAATTAGAAAAAAAAATGTTATGAGCCACTTACTGGAACAAGGAATTTTTTAATCTCTTCCAAGGCATGACTCATACGTGAATAAGCTTCCCCAGGTGGAGCAAACACTTCAATTAGAACATGAAGCTCGTCGCTCAAGTGTGAATATTTGGCTTCCCCACTTTTCCTTAGTTCTTCTTCCTGTGAAAAAGGTTATTTTTAGAAATAAGAATCTATTCATTTTGCATTGATTTAGCATTTACAGCTAATGTGACAGAAGGGCATAATCTAAGCAGACTTTCAAACCCTTTGAGAAATAAAAATCTGGCATGAGCCACTTGAAGATTTAAAAATCACTTGAGTGTTTGAGTGATAAAAGCAGCATAATTATCATCTACAACAGATTGTAATCAGTACAGTGAAAAATGCTAAATACTTCAGAAATATTGAAATATCATTAACTCTAATGCAGAAACTGCATTAGGGAGACAGACAAGCCGTGTGAACCTTCACTGTAGAAAGGCTTTTCAGCCACATATACTTTTACTATGGCCCAGAATATTTTAAGATATGGAGATTTGAGTAATTTACTGAGTTCTCATCAAAACAGTGCTATAACTTTTCTGAAAATTGCATGGTATCATTCAGGAGAAGGATGTTTAAGTTGTTAAAGCTCTAGATTTGAAGTCAGGAGATTAGGGTTTTGTTCCCAGCTCTCCCATAGACATCCTGTGTAGCTCTGGGCAAGTTGCTTAACCTGTCTGTGCCTCATTTTCTCCATCTGTAACATGGGGATAATAATTCTTTCCCACATCAGAGCAGTGTCGTGAGGCATAATTCAGTAATGTTTGCGAAGTGCTTTGAGGTCCTTAGCTAGAGAGTGTAATACAAGAGCAAATATCTCTACAATACGCTATATATAATTCACTGAAAAGATGCAAATTAATGGGAAATTTGTGGTAAGGTTACCGCTTATTATGACAAGATAATGGACAACTTTGTCACTACTATACATAATGCACTCTAAACAAATCTACTGATAAGCAATATTACAGTTGTGAAAGCAGGGAATCAGAAGAAAGAAAATTAAGAGTTAAGGTTGAAAGCTCAACTTTTAAATATATTTTTAGACAAAATCCTACCTACCTCTATGCTAGACAATTATATCCCCTTTTACAGATGGGGAAACAATGATAGAAAGAGAAGTTAAGTAATTTCCCCAAAGTCACACATTAAGTCATGGTAGCACATGGGCTGAGGAAAGTGTGCTTCACTTGATTTCAAATGTTAATATTGACATGTATGTTTTAGAAATCACACTGCAAAACTTTTGTCTTTGAAGCCTGAGCATAGATCTGCAAGCTCAGTTCATGAAAATTAATATCAACTCAGTAGTATTTAGTAGAAGTAGAGGGAGTTTGTTCAATCACTGTTGAAGAAATAAAAACAAAATCAAGTCATCAACCATTGCTCTCATACTGGTGTTTTGGTAGGTGAAGATTATATGGCATGTTTTAATTTTTAAGGTGAAGCTCTTCTTTATTTGCATATTATTAAAAGTGAACAAAGTCTTACAGAAAGATATGTGAGAGTCCATTATGTGATAGAAATTCTCTTACACTATATCAGTTGTAGTGTCAATGACATTACAACTTTACCAGTGAGATCCCATGAAAAAGTACAGTCAAGGAGAGTATATGAGACAGTCTGTTACGAGAAGTTACAATGAATTTCACCCATTGGAATAATTAGATATGAAGAATTTCAACAGAATTAGATGTTGCTATAACAAAACATTATGAAACAATGCAGTAATTGTTGCAAATTTCAGTCCTATTTCTCTTTGATTCACAACAAAGAGAAACACAAAAATTAAGTTCTCAGACTCTTTTAGGGAAAGTTACCAACACTCTTTGAAGTTTTAAAAATGAACTGGATTGTTTTCTAATGAAGTAAGGGGAAAAAATGTGTCTGGATCACTAAGTTTATGATAGCTTTGCACAGGTAAAAAACAAAATGGACTAATATATTAATAATGATTTACTGTTGCATACCTTGCTCAGCAAGTTTACTATGTGTTGTAGCATGGTAACATTACGTGCTGAGAAGGATGAAACATTGTGATAATCTAAAAAAAAAAATCTATTTGAACTCTTTATTTCAGACTCCTTCCCATAAATTCAAAACTCACTGCCAGGCTGAGAGCCTCCTCCCAGCCGCAGCCTTTTCTCAATAGTGAATTCTCAGGAACATCAGGGAGAAGATAGTGCTGTGCATCTCCTCCAGTGGTATCATCATCAATATTTCTTGAAGGGGCATGCAGGCCAGTTTCCTGGGTTGGGGGAGAGGGAAAGTAGCTGAATTTTCAAATGCACATCCAATCCCACATCAGGGATGCATGGCAGAAGATTATACTTCTTTGGCCATGGGAGGAGAAATAAAAGGAGAGGAAGACATACAGCTCAGGGAAAAACATGGCAGATTAGGAAATCACAACTTCTGCAAGCACAACGGCAACCTTGCTTCCAAATTCATTGCTCAAGACTAAGTGATTCAGGATTTAGCATATCCATACATATGACACAAGAGATGCCAAGAACAGCACCATCAAAAAGCCCAGCTGGGACAGAGGTTGTTGAATATTTTTTGCTAGGTCTGTCTAATCATGTATGAACTTAAAGATCTAGAGTATGTACTTAGCTTCAAAATGTGTTTAAAATGGATCACACTAAACAATTAATGGCAAATTATTAACCGCAAAGTTTCGATTGGAGGTACTTTTTTCTTCCCATAGTCGCCCTAATTTATAGCTGTCAGGTTTGACTCCCCACTTTCATAGTGTCTGCTTTTCTGAATATCGCACATGGGGTAATGCAAAGAGTCAACTAGAGACATATTGGGTAGATTACACTGAAGGCCTAGGAACTCTGAACTGGGCAAAATATTTCCTGACACTTTGTAAAGTCTTCTTTCTGCCTGAAGTTTATAACTTCATCAAGTAGTATGCCAAGAGACACTAACTACCATAAGCCTCACATTATATGGCAATGGGATTATTACTTTAAATGTATAAACATGCAGCAGTTACAAGCTCTGCATGCTATTTTGGTAAAGTTTTTAACTTCTTTGAGGTCTCAGATATGATTCTGATTCTGCTGGATATGATCTTATAATCACAGATGATGATACCCCCTACACTTTTGATGCTTCATGGAAGTCACGCTCATACAGCATAGGTCTCAAAACTGATGCAATACACTAAAGCAGGAGTAGGCAACCTATGGCATGCGTGCCAAAGGCGGCACGCGAGCTGATTTTCAGTGACACTCACACTGCCTGGGTCCTGGCCACCGGTCCAGGGGGCTCTGCATTTTAATTTAATTTTAAATGAAGCTTCTTAAACATTTTAAAAACCTTATTTACTTTACATACACAATAGTTTAGTTATATATTATAGACTTATAGAAAGAGACCTTTTAAAAACGTTAAAATGTATTACTGGCACGCGAAATCTCAAATTAGAGTGAATAAATGAAGACTCGGCACACCACTTCTGAAAGGTTGCCGACCCCTGCACTAAAGTGTTCACCAAGTCTCACTAAAGACAAGAAAAATCCATTTTCCCAGTTTTTAATTCAGCAAGCATGAAAACTAGTACTACTTTTTTTTACTTTTAAATAGAGTAAGGAAATTTCCAGCCCAAAAAATTCATTAAGATTATAGATTTTAAGGCTGTAAGGAACCACTAAGATAAATTTGTCTGATAGCCTTCATGATATAGACCATAGTATTTCACCCAGGAATTACTGTAGTGGAGGGAATTATTCTTCCCTATTTAAATGTATGCTGTTGAGCATAATAAACTCTAGTTCAGCCACAAGTTATCTTTTGAAAAGGTGTCCAATGTCAATTTAAAGACTTCAAGTGACAATGACTATCATTTCCCTTGGTAAGCTCTTGCAATGATTAATTACTTTCACTGCTAGGAATTTGCACCTTATTTCCAATTTGAATCTTTTCTGGCTTCAATTTACGGTGCTGCAGAAGCCACTCCATAGTTAAGGTTAAAAACATTATCTAATTAATGAGTTGCAAAGTGCTTTGAAGATGAAAAGGACTATACAATTGCTACAGTAAGTAATATTAACTAAACCGAATACCAATACTACTCCAACTTTTTTTTTTTTAAAGCCTCTTTCTGTCTGAAGTTTGTCATGTGGAGACAAATAAGATTCAGAGGGATTCTGTAGCTAGAAACTTCAGATATGGAACAAACGTAGAGCATAGGAGTAATGTGATATGGCTGAGTATGTGCCATGGAGCTTATATGCACCATGGAAATTTCAACAAAGGAATTTATAAAACTAGTTGAAAGTGTTCAAAATCGGAAAATGTGTGATGAAAAAATGTTCACAAAAAATGTTGAAACATTTTCCCCTTTTAAAACCAGGTTCAGTCAGGGGTGGGAGGGAGAGTGGCTGATGTGTGCTGCACTTGCCAGCTAACATATGATCTCATGCAGGCTAGAAAATTGGTGCAAGTTAATGCAGCCTAGGCTAAATTAGGCTGAAGTAGGGAACCAGGGAGCCATAACTAGGGTGACCATATTTCCCTAAACTGAAAACGGGACATGCAGGGCTGGCCTGAGCCACCTGGTGTCGCTGCTCATCCCCCACAAACATTTCTCCGTATCCCACAATTGAGCCAAGTCTCAGAGATGGGCAGGGGTGGGGGGAAGAGGGGGAGGGGGAAAGAGGAATGGGTATGGGCTAGGATCTGGGCCGCAAAATAGGGTGAGTACTTTGGGGCTCGGAGCAAGGTGATGAAGCTATTGACTATGAGCCAGCTAGTGGGGCATGCCAGAATAGCAAAGGGGCAGGAAGGAGGCTCCAGGTAGCAGGAGGGACCAAGCTGACTGCAAAGAACAGCCCCGGGGAGGTAGGGGAAGGCCACGATGCAAGGCCACCATTTCAGATTTGGTATCGGGAGGGGGCAACTCCTGGTCAGTGAGGGGAGAGGGAAGAGGAGCGAGCAATGGGGGAGCATGGGTGGTCACTCTCGGCCGGTGGTACAAAACTCAAGGAGGGGGCAGGTGCCTCCCCAGCACCTTCCTAAATGGCACCCCTACTGGGATGTGGCAGAAGCGGGTGAGTAGAGCCAAACAGGTTGGGGTGGAGAAAGACTGGAGAGCACTCCAGGGT